ACAGAAGGGGGGGCAGAGACGAGACCAGTCACCCTGCATAAGAAAAGAGAGCAGCAGTGAGCGGTGTTTATTACAGGAAGGGGTGGAGACAAGACCAGTCACCTTGTACAAGCAGAGAGAGAGCAGCAGTGAGCGGTCTTTATTACAGGAGGGGGCGGAGGCAAGACCAGTCACTGTGCACAAGGAGAGAGAGCGCAGCAGGGTAGCGGTCTTTATTACAGGAGGGGGCGGAGACAAGACCAGGCACCCTGCACAAGGAGAGAGAGCGCAGCAGGGTAGCGGTCTTTATTACAGGAGGGGGCGGAGGCAAGACCAGTCACTGTGCGCAAGGAGAGAGAGCGCAGCAGGGTAGCGGTCTTTATTACAGGAGGGGGCGGAGGCAAGACCAGTCACTGTGCGCAAGGAGAGAGAGCGCAGCAGGGTAGCGGTCTTTATTACAGGAGGGGGCGGAGGCAAGACCAGTCACTGTGCGCAAGGAGAGAGAGCGCAGCAGGGTAGCGGTCTTTATTACAGGAGGGGGCGGAGACAAGACCAGTCACCCTGCACAAGGAGAGAGAGCGCAGCACGGTAGCGGTCTTTATTTCAGGAGGGGGCAGAGACAAGACCAGTCACCTTGTACAAGCAGAGAGAGAACAGCAGTGAGCGGTCTTTATTTCAGGAGGGGGCGGAGACAAAACCAGTCACCCTGCACAAGCAGAGAGAGCAGCGGTGACCGGTCTTCATGACGGGAAGCTCCAAGTCTCCCTCTGGATTACTGCGCACATCTGGAGGAAATACACAAAGCTCACCAAGGAATTCGAGGAAGGACACATGTAGATATTGCATTTAGACCGTATTTGCTGAGGCCGGGGTTCGGCTTTAATTCAGAACTATTCATATTTCTGGCGGCTAAAGAGAAGGAATGAGAGTCTAATCCCTCGGAGTGTATTGTAGAAAGATCTTATTAGCTGGGTACACAGAACTCTGCCTTTTATTACGCCTGAGAGTTAAATTCCGGGGCCGCCGGGTGCGATAAACATCATCTCTCGTTACAAAGGCTTTATAAAAAAGCTCCATAAATCTGACCGGCCCATCACATTAACAGGCCACAAGTGTCCGACCTCATAATGAAGTATTGACCATACTTAACTCCTGCTATATAGATATTGAACAGCGGCTGGATTTATTAAATGGCGCCATTTCCTCATCCTGGGAACAACAAAAGAAAACACAAAAGCGACTCCATGACATGTATATCATAAGATCTGCTCATGTGTTATCCTGCCGAGGTGTGCGCACCGTTATTAGAACCAGAAGTGCACCGAAATGGACATTTCTAAACCGAAACGAAACCGGAATTTAAAAAAAATTGTCAGGCCTAAACCGAAAATGTTTTTTATTTTAATTTTTTTCAATTTTTTTTTCAATATTTGATTTATTTCTTATAAACTTTTTAATTTTTGTATTTGTTAATTCATTGTTTATTAAATATTTTTATTTTTTACATTACTTTTAGGGGCTTCGGAGAAATATTAGGGGTCTAAACAGACTACTGATATTTTCCTTTTAAAATAGAAAAAGAGATTGAGGACACAGAGTCCTCCGAGACACACAGAGTCCCCAGAGATGCTCAGAGTCCTCAGAGACACACAGAGTCCTCGGAGGCACAGAGTCCTCAGAGACGCACAGAGTCCCCAGAGACGCTCAGAGTCCTCGGAGACACACAGTCCTCGGAGACACAGAGTCCTCAGAGACTCACAGAGTCCCCAGAGACGCTCAGAGTCCTCGGAGGCACAGAGTCCTCAGAGACGCACAGAGTCCCCAGAGACGCTCAGAGTCCTCGGAGACACACAGTCCTCAGAGACACAGAGTCCCCAGAGACTCACAGAGTCCCCAGAGACGCGCAGAGTCCCCAGAGACGCGCAGAATCCCCAGAGACGCGCAGAGTCCCCAGAGACGCGCAGAGTCCCCAGAGACACGCAGAGTCCTCAGAGACACGCAGAGTCCTCAGAGACACACAGAGCCCTCAGAGACACACAGAGCCCTCAGAGACACACAGAGTCCTCCGAGACACACAGAGCCCTCAGAGACACACACAGTCCTCAGAGACACACACAGTCCTCAGAGACACACACAGCCCTCCGAGACACACAGAGCCCTCAGAGACACAGAGCCCTCAGAGACACACAGAGTCCTCAGAGACACACACAGCCCTCAGACACACACAGAGTCCTCAGAGACACACACAGTCCTCAGAGACACACACAGTCCCCAATCTCTTATTCTGCAGCCCCTGTTATGATTGAACAGGAATCCTCTATACTGAGTGTTCCTGATCATTCATAACATGAGGACAGAGTTTGTTTACTATAACTACAACTATGAATGGACAGGACGTGATGTAGATGTGATAATTGAGGATATAATAACCACACTCTGTCCTCAATTATGTACAAACACTCGGCGAACACTGATCACATGACTGCTTGTACCTGCTCTCCTCTCTGACACGCTGTCACAGGAGGCTGAGCGAGCGGTGCGGGGAGGAGAGCTCAGCCTCCTGTGACAGCGCGGGATGTCTCCGCCACCACACCGCTCTGCCGGACTGTGATAGGCGGCCGAGCGGTGTGGGAGGAGAGACGCCGGCCCCTCACAGCGCTCTCCTCCCGCAGCGCTCGGCCGGCTGTCACAGTTTCTCTCCTTCCCGCTGGGACACAGAGAAGCGCCCAGCGGGGAGGAAAGAAAGAATGGATGCGCCGATGTATCGGCAGGAAAATGGCACTTTTGCCATTTTGCCAAAAGTGCCATTTTCGGACGATATGTTTCGGCGGCCGATAAATCCGTGCATCCCTAATTAGAAGGGACATCAATGTGTATTTTCTGTGCTCATGTTCTATGAATCATTGTAACATTTGGCTGATTGCAATGTATCTGAACTTGCACATTTTCTGTGCTTGCTGGTCCATATTTTATTTGTTGTATTTTATGTAAAAGGTTTTCCAGTGCTCCCTCTAGTGGTCATCTGTGTAATGGGGAATGTGCCTGATATCCTTAATTACTAAAAATCACCAAAAAAAAGTTTTTCTGGCCATGAAATGTACACAGCTTTTTCACAGTTACCTCATGTGACCTAAAGCAGAGGTAGGCAACCTCGGCACCCCAGCTGTGGTGAAACTACAAATGCCATCATGCCTTTGCCTGTGGGAGTCATGCCTGTGGCTGTCAGAGTGTTGCAATGCCTCATGGGATTTGTAGTTTCACCACAGCTGGAGGGCCGGAGGTTCCCCACCCCTGCTTCAGAGACTGCAGACTGGACTTATATCAGACAGACCCTGAGGGTGCTCTATGGTATTTAGATCTGGACTCATTGCTGGCAGAGGCGTCCCGAGGTGGGGTGACACCTGGTGCCGGTATTGGGCGACATCCAGCAGTGACGTCATTTTGTACGCGTGATGACGCCACGCGCGGTACCGCTGTTACCTGTCGGCGGCCATCTTGGTGATGGACGATGGCAGAGAGAGAAGGGGACGTTACCCAGCGGGATAAGGTATTCCACCGAGTCCCCTCCTCTCTCCTGCAACTATCGGGCTCTCAGTCCTTGACCGAGTGCCCGACTTTTCAGAGGGGGGGCTCCAATGGTGTCCAGGTGCTCCAGGTGCAGGTCGCATCCCCCGCCACTGATTGTCGGCCAGTCCAGTACTCTCCAGCGCTATGAAACCATTTCTGGGTGCTTTATGACGTGTGCTTTGGGTCATTGTCTTGCTGTAAGACCCATGACCTCTGACGGAGACCCAACTTTCTGACACCGGGCCCTACATTGCACCCCAGAATTATTTGGTAGTCTTCAGATGATGCCGTGCACACAGTCAGGACATCCAGCGCCTAAAAGCAGCAAAGCAACCCCAAGACATCAGTGACCCCCCACGTGTGACAATTTTTTTTTTTTTTTTTAAAGGAGAACTATAGGGTTAAGGCTTTTCCCCATAGTTCTCCTTAGAGTAACGGGAGGACACAACCCTGTAGCTCGTGGTATACTGAGACGCCGCAGCTGAAGCAGATCCTGACAATAATGCCGGGATCCGCCCAGCTGCGTGAGTGACGGCTGACCCGCCCCCTCCCCTGTGCGTTCTGCCAATCAGCGCTGGCGGATCGGAGCAGGGAGGGGCGAATCCAGCCCCTCCCCTGTCACGGCAGAGAGCCGTGACAGGATCGAGAGGTGAGCGAACGCCGGTATGTGTTCGCTCACCTCCCGATCTACTGAGCCGACCTGTGACAGTCTCATTGTCACAGGTCGGCTAGAACTATGAGGTGAATGAAAAGCACCCCCCCTCATAGTTCTCCTTTAACCACCTAATTTTCCCTGAAAACATTAGAATGATGAGCTGCACCAAAAAGCTTGTCAACAAGTCATATTGTGTCAAACAAAAGAAATAAACATGAGAACATTTGTAAATGCAACAATTATGGGCAGCACAGTGGCGTAGTGGTTAGCGCTTCTGCCTTGCAGCACTGACTGAGGGTCCCTGGTTCGAAGGAATTTGTATGTTCTCCCTGTGTGGGTTTCCTCTGGGTACTCCGGTTTTCTCCCACACTCCAAGGACATGCTGGAACGTTAATTGGCTCCTCTCTGAATTGGCCCTGTGTGTGAGATGGGGAGCTTAGATTTTAAGCTCCTTGAGGGTAGGGACTGATGTGAATGTGCAACTATGTAAAGTGTAAACTATGAGCAAATTGTCGGCGCTCTATAAATACCTGTAATAAATAATGACATTTTCTGCCAGAAATGCCGGGGTGCCAATATTTGTGGCCGTGACTGTATATGTTATCTACATTTTTTTTAATGTGAAGAATCTCCCCCCTTCCCATGTCTTTTATGAACACTGTAAAAACAAATAGAAAAATGATAGTAGAAGCAATGAAATGAGATGAATCGGGGAATACAAAGTTAATTAAAAGGTTTCTAGAAGCAATTGAATGAAAATAATGTGTTTTTTTTTTTGTTTTTTTGTCTTTCTACACAGAACGGAAGCACCTGCTGTTCAGTGGACCTAGAATGCCTTCACAATAACTAAAAAAAGGTCTAAAAACACGGACTCTTGTTTCAGAGGAAAAACAAAAAAACAAAACAAAACTGATGCAGTTCCCATCGATAAGAGAGTATAAAACACAAGACAACATTTTATACAAACGGACAATTACCAAAGTCTTCAGAAGATGTTTGGCAGTTGCTAGGGGACCTTCTATCCATCACGTCTGGCCACTCCCACCTCTGTTTTTGGGCTGATGGAAGGTTCCTTTCATCAGAAAAAGGACTGAAGCTCGAATCTCCAGCAAAAATAGTCAATATCAATGTTGTGAGTCACCAACGTTCTACCTGTTCCATCAACAAAAAACACGGAATCTTTTCCTAGTAAAGGTTTGATGTCTTTTATTTTATTCTTTCGAATGTGGACACCCATGACGTCGATTTTCTCGGAAGATCTCAGAAGTCAAGAGCAAAAAAAACAATGTCGCATCTCATCGTCTCCCAACTTTGGTTTAGAAAGGTCCCTTTGCCTGGTGTTTCTCTGGAAATAATGTATGTATGTAAAGTCTTTATCTATTGACATAGCATCTTTATTTAATAGCTTATGACTTCACCCAGCGTCTTGGAACATTTAAAAAAAGGATGAACAGTACAAGCTTCTTCAAGTAGGACCACCACCACCACCAAGACTAGTAATCCTTCACCCTTGTGCTGTGAAATGGACTTGGGCTGCTTTGCGACGACCGACCGATCCGGCCACAGACTTAAATCAGGACAAGGACCTCATCTTCAAAGCATATTGGACTTTCAAGACCGCAGTCGTGTACCACAGTAGATGCTTGCATTGCTTCAAGGAACTGTCCCTTGGAAAACTCGGGGCTCTGCATTAGTTTTTTCACGGCCAAGGACGTTCTGTGTAAAAGACGAGACGAGAAAAATAATGCGCCCTTCGTTTCTACGCGGGTTAACGAAATGTACAAAAATATTTTCACATACTTAAATTTTCTGAACGACGAAACAGTCAGGAGATGCTAAAAATAAAATAATGAAGAATGTCTATAGAAAGGAACCAGTGATGACCATGGGACACATTTTAAAACAGTTTGCTGTCTGGATTATGTCTGAAGTATGCGGAAGGTTTTGTTTTTCTTTGCTCGTCGGCTTGAGATTAACCTCTGCTTGCTGCTCCACCCCATTTGCAGCACGTTGCTTTCAATAGGCTGCAAATGGGAGGTTGGTTATCTTCAAGGGCTATTCTCAAGACTCTGTAGTTTTTAGGTCTTCTACCTTTTATTGTTTGCAGTTATTAAAAGAATAAGAAAAAATAAAAATATTTTGACTCACCTGGGGCAATAATATGAATTGGAATCTCCTTTGGCGATAGAACAGCCTCCACTCTTCTGGGGATGCTTTCCACGAGGGTGTGTCTGTTGGAATTATTATTATTACACAGGATTTATAGAGCGCCAACAGTGTGCGCAGCGCTTTACAATATAAGGAAGACATTACAATCACAATACAAATCAAGACAAGATGGTAACGAGGGCCCTGCCCCTGAGGGCTTACAATCTAAAAGGGAGGGGGAAGAATTTGAGCCCATTCAGCCAAAAGAGCATTGGTGGGGGGGTCACAATGTGAGCAGCTATTGTCACCGGGACAGTAATTAAAGACACTGTTGGAAGGTCCTCCCCAAATCTACTAAAAACTTGTTTTTTGGGCTTTGTCCCCATTGGAAGGATTTCGCATCACTTCCGCTCCTGACAAGATTACAATATAACCTGACAGGGGTTTCCAACTGCTCCCCGGCTCTATCTAAAACCAAATGTTTTGACTTGAGCTGGGCTTTTTAAGGGCCCGTTCACACCAGATGGAGTGCGTTCCGGCCCGATTCTGGCCAGAACGCACTGCCTAGCATTGCTGCCGGCGGACGGTCGAAACTTCCAACTTGTCGACGCTCACTTTTTTGTGGGGCAGGAGGGGGGCGTGGTGGGCCGTTGAAGTGAACGGCACCGTAGCCACACCCTCCGGCCGCAATGCGATTGGACGCACGGCATCGCAAGGCACTTTATGCCTGCGGTCCGGTGCGATCAAAATAGTGCTTGCAGCATTTTGATCGCACCTGGCCGCAGGCATAAAGTGCCTTGTGATCAAATTGCGGCCGGAGGGCGTGGCTACGGTGCCATTCACTTCAATGGCCCGCCACGCCCCTTTCTGCCCCACAAAAAAGTGAGTCGGCCGCAGTGCGAGGAAGTGAGTTCTGGCCAGAACGCACTGCATCTGGTGTGAACGGGCCCTTAAATGCACATGTGCTTAGAGTATGGACATCAGGAGCCTATTTACGCTATTCTGTGGTTGCAGGCCCATCCCTATAATGAGCCAGCCTGAGACAGTTGCTTCAAGTGGCATCTCATTGGATCTCGTGGGGCCCCTTTCTAGCCAGAGTGTCCCCAGGATGCTAAGATCTCTTAGCAACCTGTGGACACTCTGCCCAGTGTCCCGCCCAGATCATTGGTGTCACTGGTTGCCAGGAGCAGAGTGGGCTGGCTGGTGTCCTATCCAGCTCTGGCAAACAGAGACCTTAGTGACCTATTGCCAGGACATGCACCTCCAGAACACACCAGAACCCTTCCTCCCTGGACCTGTAACACTGACACTGTGCACCATTGAACCTCAATCCCCCCCCCCCCACCAGACCTGCATCACTATCACAAACACCAACCTACCACCTTTCACCCCCAGGCAGCGAGAGATGCAAGTATGTCATGCACTGCATGCTAGGTGTGCCTGTGTTCTCCATTAAAATGCATTCTGTCACATGTTAACATGCATTGTATTCATTTTGAATGTGCTGCCAATGCACAAAAAAAGTACCGGCAACATTTTTTTTTTTTTTCCATAATGACTGGTAGTGCATTACCATGCGGTGTGGTGCACTGCAACTCGTGCATCAGATCTGCAGTGCCTTAGGGCGTTGGGTTCCCATTCCAAATAAATGGCAGCGCAATGCACTAACGCATGTGATATGCATTACCGCAATGCACTGCAAAAGTGTGTTTCAGCCCTAAAGTTTCTAACTTTTTTCACCCACAGGTTTTTTTTTTGTCTTTCTTTTAGGGAAGGGGAAAGTCGAGGGGGAGGGAGGGGGTGCACCTTGAATAAGGGGACCTTGCCTCTGTGGTGGAAGGTCCACTTTACGTAACTTTAAAATCACTTTTTTTGTGGGGCAGGAGGGGGGCGTGGCGGGCCATTGAAGTGAACGGCACCGTAGTCACGCCCTCCGGCCGCAATGCGATTGGACGCACGGGATCACAAGGCACTTTATGCCTGCGGTCCGGTACGGTCAAAATAGTGCTTTTGATCGCACCGGACCGCAGGCACCAAGTGCCTTGTGATCGCATTGCGGCTGGTGGGCGTGTCTACGGTGCCATTCAAATGTCTGTTCCTGCCTTCAAATGTCTGTCTGTAGGTACTCCTCGGGGGCTGGCGAATGAGGGGCAGTGTGCGTCCGAAGTCGTTACCCAAACTAGGTTGTTTTTTTTTTATTTATCTTTTGCTAGCAATCTGGACAGTAATGCCGTTTTAAACCGTGATAGTTCTAAAGTCATCCTGTGTATGTAAAATATATTTTACATAAAAAGGTTTACACAAAACACCACCGAGAAATTGAATAAAGAACTGAACCAGTTAAAGAACGTGTCGGCCTCCGTTTTATCAATAGAAGAACTGCAACAATTTCATGACGGAGGATTCATTACACCGGCGTGCCGCGCTCCGTGTCAGAAGCAATAAAGCAGGTCTAGGAGAATGTGGCTGCTGTAGAACTGGGCGTTCATGTTACCATTCCGCTCAACATTTCTATGATGGGAAAGAGGCAAATAATCATAACAATAACAATATTAATGATAAATGATAATATTGTTGCTGCTATTTTCAAAAAAATAGTTTTCAGGATTTATATGGCACTAAGTTTACAATATGAAGTACTGTTACAATACAACTTTTATATAACAGGAAAGAGGGGCATCAAAATAAAAAATAACAGCATAATTATTAAAGGAGAACTATGAGGGGGGGGGGTGGGGGGGCTTTTCACTCCTCCTCATAGTTCTAGCCGACCTGTGACAATGAGACTGTCACACGTCGGCTCAGTAGATCGGGAAGCGAGGGAACGCATACCGTCGCTCGCTTACTTCTCGATCCTGTCACGGCTCTCTGCCATGACAGGGGAGGCGCTGGATTCCCCCCTCCCCGCTCCGATCCTCCAGTGCTGACTGGCGGAACGGACGGGGGAGGGGGCGGGTACAGCTGGCTCTGCTCTAGATAGGCAGAGCCAGCTGTCACTCACGCAGCTGGGCGGATCTCGACATCGATGTCGGGATCCGCTCCGGCTGCGGCGTCTCAGTATACCGCTAGCCGTAGCTCCCTATATACTGAGCTTAGGGTGATGGGAGGATGCTAGTTTGTGTCCTCCCGTTACTCTAAGGAGAACTATGGGGAAAAGCCCTGACCCCATACTTCTCCTTTAATAATATAAATGATGATATTATTATTATTATACAGGATTTATATAGCGCCAACAGTTTGCGCAGCGCTTTACAATATAAGGAAGACATTACAATCCCAATACGATTCAAGACAAGATGGTAAGGAGGGCCCTGCCCCTGCGGGCTTACAATCTAAAAGGGAGGGGGAAGAATTTGAGCCCATTCAGCCAAAAGAGCATTGGTGGGGGGGTCACAATGTGAGCAGCTATTGTCACCAGGACAGCAATTAAAGACACTGTTGGAAGGTCCTTCCCAATTAATTTTTTGGGCTTTGTCCCCATTGGAAGGATTTCGCATCACTTCCGCTCCTGACAAGATTACAATATAACCTGACAGGGGTTTCCAACTGCTCCCCGGCTCTATCCAAAACCAAATGTTTTGACTGGAGCCGGGCTTTTTAAGGGCCCGTTCACACCAGATGCAGTGCGCTCCGGCCCAATTCTGGCCAGAACGCACTGCCTAGCATTGCTGCCGGTGGACGATCGAAACTTCCAACTTGTCGACGCT